CAGTCACTGAATAGGACCTTAAATATCTAGCAACAATCAGTGAATACAAAAAGGAAACCTGGGCTGATGGCAGTCAGAAAAGGAAAAGGTCCATTAGATCACTGAGCTCTCCCTTTGTGTGGGCAGGATACAGCCCTTCAATAGAGGATATATCAGTTATTACAATATGCTCTCTCTTTGTCAAATGACGGGCCTATTTCCTGACATTTTTTATTCAAGTTAGAGGATATACCAACTATTATAATATGTTCCATCTTTGACAGAAGACCTCCCTTTTCCCTGGCTTTTCAGATTCAAGCCAGATCTCTGTTGCAATTTTAAAGACAGAAACTAAGCGATGGATAAAATGGAGGCAATAACCTGAAAGTGACAAACCTGTTCATCCTTTGTTTATTAAAGTGGTGACATCAGAACTGGCCATAGTATCTAGTTTAGGTCTCACAAATCCTGGATGCAGAGGTAACATCAATTCCCTTCTCCCACTTGCTATTCTCCTGTTGATCAATCCAAGGATCAAATCTATTTTCTTTGCTAGAGAAGCATATTAGGTGCCTGCATGCATCTAATTTCCACTCGGAACACAAAGCAGAGCTGGACAGCAAGCCTAGGCACAGAAGTTACACATAAACCAGTTTAAGTGATCAGAATGGAGCTCGATGGAGCTTCTCTTCCTCCTTTTAGGTCTGGGTTTCTTCCCTGACTCATTGTCCTCCTGCCCCTCCTGTTTCTTCTGCCTCTCAATGTTTCTCTCCCTTTTCCCTTGAACATGCTGGTATTTCTCTCCCATCTACCACTTTGCTTCCCTTGGCTTCTACAGCCCAAGTGTCTGCATGTATTAGTTGTAACTGTAGTTATCCCCCCTGAAGCAGGCAGGGCTATATCCCCCTCAGGCACTTGTTGGAGGGAGGCAAGATTTCTTAAAGATATTTGAGCAACTATTTCCTATTAGAGCCAGAGAGAGTTGGGCACCTCAGTACCTTTCAGGATCTGGGTTACAGGGTTGTCATAGAGGGAGTCTATGACAGAGCAGATCAGTGAATGTAGATCTCCTTGATCTCCGTGCTATACCTGCTGGGGCACACTTCCTCTGGTAGTGCCCTTCATTTGTCTCCTGACCTGGTCCCTGTAGCAACCCAGTAATTCTCTCCTCTCTGCTGTGCCTCTTCATTCCTTCTTTCCTTTCCTGTTCCTGCCATTCTCCTGTAGTATCTATCACCTCACCCCCTTCTATACCACATGCACAGTAGCAGGCTAGACTCAGGGGCTGTGCTTCATCAGAGCAAAGGTAGAAGCTGTGGCTTGGATGTCTGTAGATGATGCAGGGGTAAAAATGCCTGAGCCATGTCTCCATTGCAATCTCTACTTTGGTGACTAGGGCAGACTGGAAAGCATCTCTGTTTTGTGAAAGATGTTGAGGTTTCAGAATCCATTTCCATTCTGATATGAGATAAAACCAAAACCTTCTGAAATACTGTGTGGATAATATGAGATCTCCTCTGGTGTGTGGATGATGCAAGCTCAAGGCTCTGGTCTGAATCAGGAACAGCAAAGACTTGAGCTATGTGTCAGCTCTTGAAATCTGACTGCTGAGTGTATCTCCTCATTGACTTGAGTTATAATTGGCAATGGTCAGACACCAGCAGCTGTCAAGTAGCTTTGATACTATGTGTTTCTCTTCTCTGCTTTCCTGTCCTTTCCCCTCCCTATACTACCTGGTGCACTGTATCTGCCTCCTTCCCAGCCTGATGCTCTACATTTCATCTGGATATGCTACTCTTTCCCCCCTTATCTTCTTTGGAGAGTTGCAGGCCTCCTTCATCCTAAATGTCCCTACTTTTCTTATGACCTAGGAGCCACCACTGAGGGTAGGAGGAAGGGAATGGCTGCTGCCTGCTGAGCTGGTGACACAACAGTGCGGTGGCAGACTGGAAATGGCCCAGCACAAGAGATGTGCAGCCTCAGTGGCTGTGGGGTTTCTCTGCATGGCAGTGCCACTGAAGGACTGAAGGTATGCCCTGTGAAATGCTGTATATCTAGTAGGCACGTGTGGTTCTAAACCACATTTTTCTGCTACAATACACATTTCTGAGAAGTTTCTGTATTTGGTTTCATTCGGGAGTGACAGTTCCTGGCTTCATGTTAAAAATATAAATTGACCAGAAAAAGCATGCAGATGTACCCCATGCCAGGTGCTCATAAGTTGGACCGGCCATGTCAGGATTATGATTTTCTTCTTTAAAAACACATACAACTACATTGAAAGAATATGATTAAGGTTGCAAGTCCTTAGAAGGTTAGGAAATGCGAGAATTAAGGTTTTCTGTGTTCTAAATGTTTCATTTACAGATTAGATTAATGTTTAAGCTTTAGGGGAAATGTGGGTGTTAGGAGATCAGAAACAGCACAGAGCTAGCTAGACAGGGGCTTCTAGAAGTCCAGGCAATTAACTTTGCAGGATGCAGAAATGCGGCATATACTGCACCGAATCAGTTGTATAGAAAATGCAAGGTTCCCCCCAACAACATTTTCTTGTTGTAAGACCCTAATCCTAAGGCTGCTGGCAAGGATGCAGTTCAAGATTGTGTATAACATCTAAAGTAACACGCAGGAAATGCAACTCCCCAGGTTATTTTAAGTCTTAGCAACACCATCACCAGCTGCAGACAAAATCCAGCAGCACAGATGCTGCTGCTGACAGCTCCATTGTGCATGACAGCAAACGTGGTTTGTTAGCAAAGATAGTGTCTGCCGTCTACAAGAGTGGGTCCCTCTGTAAGATAGTTGGAAGAACCAAACTCTGCCTCACACATCCACCAAAGTGTGGGAGAAAGGTTTCCACCCTCACTCCTGAGGAGGGGGAGCTGAGCACTCACCCCCTTTTCAGACAGGGTGAGATTCCCCCCAGCAGAGGGAGCAGAGTTGATTACAGATAGAAAGCAGGGCCTAAGGCTCAGGGTCTGATCTACATAATGTAGTTTTGCTAGCAACCTTGTGTGCAGCTCTTATCCTGAGCTCCCTGCGGGGGAAGAACAGCTTCATTCTGCAGAAGAGTAACATGACTTCCCTGACCAAAACGAGGCCTGTGTCACTGTCTGGCAACTGGCAGAAGGCACATGTAGGCAGGCATGCATAGTCTGCCAGCTGTGACAGCTCCTGGTGCCTTCCCCGGGGTCTGCGTCTCTCTGCCAGCACAGCAGGTGAAGGGGAACCGTGTTTATGTTGCAGATACATGAGGATCCATCTATGCACTCCACCAGCTTCTCAAAGGCAGTGGCTGTCTAGACCAGTGGTCTCCAAACTTTTTTGATCGCGCACCCCTATCAGTAAAAAATTTTTGAGCACGCATCCCATATATATGTATATTTATATAAATATAAATAGAAATTCTAATATTTTCTTCCCACACCCCAATGGATTTTCTTGTGCACACCCTGGGGTGTACGCACCCCACTTTGGAGACCGCTGGTCTAGACAACAGTCCCTTGGCAGGTCCAGGACCCTGGTTTTCCAGTTGAGACTGCTTCCTGGCCTCTGAGATGAGAGCCTTGTTCCCCAAACATGCACCTCTGCTGCTCAGAGGGACAAACGGTGCTGGAGCCAGCACTCTGGGCACCATCCCAGAAGAGCTACATGAGGACAACATAGGGAGTGAGTCTGAAGTCAGCGACTTTCCCATCCCACCGTTAGATGCAAAACCTTGTGCAAGGGACCCATGCAACTGATTTGGGTAGTAAAAGCTGGTGCTTTAGTGGTGGGTTTTGTTGCTGGAGCTTAATTTTCGCACCCTCAAAAATCACCCCTCCCCCCAAGTTCTGCCCCAGGAAAGCCTCAAGGAAGGCTGTTTGAGTAGATGTGATACCTTTTATTAGACCAACTAAATAGTTGGAAAAATTGTTCTTTGCAAGCTTTCAAGGAGGCTCTGCTTAGGGCAGGGGTTCCCAACCTTTTTATGCTGCGGACTGGCAAACTGCAGCCTGGAAGTGACCATGGACTGGCAAACTATGGACCAGCATACTGTGGGCAGGCAGCCAACCCTTTATTATACTCAGTATAAAAAAAGGGTTGGCTTCCAGTTTGCAGTATGCCAGTCACTTCTGGACTTCCAGTCTGGCAGCCAACCCTTCACAGCCCGGTACTAGGCTGTGGCCCGAGGGGTTGGGAACCCCTGGCTTAGGGGATGAGGCTGGTGCTGGGGCTGGTTGGAGATGAGGAAGGGCAATGTGTAGGGGGCCATGAAGAAGATGGGGAGAGGGACAGCTGAGAGCTTAGGGGGTGCTGGACATAGGGTTGCCAACTCTGTTTGAGTCTATTCCAGGAGGTTTCCAGAACAACAACACGCCAGTAACACACAGCACGAAGGTGCCCGTGTGCTTGTGCATATGTTACAGATTACAGTGTGTGTAGACTTTACGTTGGGCAAGCAAATGCACATGACTATTACATTTTAAAAATCCAGAGGACTCCTGCTTATCAATTGGATTCAACATTTCATATTTTGTTTTAATGAATGGCCTGTTATTTATCTCCCCTCTGGGCGACTGTCAGCAGTCTCCTGGAGATTTACATTTGATTCCTGGAGCCCCCAGGGCAATCCCGGAGGGTTGGCAGCCCAAGCTGGGCAGGGGCAGGGGCAGGCTTTTCTGAGGCACACGGGGAGCGCGGGCAGTCCCCTGCTGTGATTTTAACTGGTTAAAAACCAGAACGGGAACAAGAGCGTGGGCCAGAGGGGGATAAGGAGCGGTGTAAGGGGCAGGCCACGCTGGCGGGGCATCTCTTGAGGCGGCAGAGCCCAGGGGAGCGCGCAGACTTGGGGGGGGGGACGAGGAGGAGGAGGCGGCGGCGGCGG